CCCCCCCCCCCCCTGTGCCAAGACCCCGGCCTGTGCCATGCAGCCGATCCGTGCCAAGACCTGCATCCTTACGGTAACCCGGGAGTAGCTTTGCCTCCTCGACCCTCGGTTGATTGTTCTTCATTGACATTGGCTTTGTACGTACCACGTGTACGGTAATCGACGATCGGCCTGGAAGGTGGGGTAGTGCAAACACAACAAGTAACATGCTCGGGCGATGATGCATTTTCCTCTCATACTCCACCTTGAGCTGTGCGCGGTCGGCCTGTTCCATGCTCATGCTCACGCCGTTGCAGTCTTTGATGCTGGAGTTGAACTCGCCTGAAGTGTCGTTCGAACGCGGCTTACGCGCTGCCGCAGGTTCGGGGGTGGTCGAGAGGATTGCTACGGTTGTTGAGTTGTGGCAAGGATATCGTGCGGTTCTACCGGTGCTGTCGGTAGATTGTTGTTGTGTCATTACACCGGTATGGGCACAACAAATCTGCGGTGTGACTACCTTGCGAGGCTGACTGTTGCAAGTTCTTTTCGTTTGCAGGAAACAAGGACGAAAGTCTTGATAGGATCGCGAAGGATCCTTGGTGCACCACCTGGGCCCACGTGCGACAATTGTGTCAAGAACAGTGAAGGATACCCACAAGCTTTGGAACGTCGCGCCAAACACGGTAGAAAGATGTTCGATTCCAGCCCAGACAGCGGAGAAAAGCAAACTACCGCTGTTCTGGAGCTCAAGTACATTATTACATTCAGCCCGTTTGATCGTTTTTCACCTTTCGGCGGCGCTCCCTCTGCAGGAGGAGCGGAGTCCGTCTTGACCGGTTTTTTCATGACCCCGTGGCTGTTGAGGACCCGCTCCCCGGTGTCGAGCCAGTGGCAGAACTCGTCGAAGTCTAGCTGCCACGTCCGTGGCTCCGTGTCGAAGATGTCGAACGTCGCCTGGATTAGCTGTTGGTGCAATTGTGGAACAGTTGGTAGAGTATTGGTTGATCGGTGCACTTGTTGGTGTCGATGCCGGTACCGACCTTTTTGTCGTAATTGCAGGTTCGCGATATTTGTGCCGGCATTGGTTGTTGTTGCTACGCTACTGCTGCTGCTGCTGCTGCTGCTGCTGCTGCTGCTGCTGCTGTTGCCGTGGAAAATGTTTTTTATCGTTTTTGTTGTCCACAAGCCAATCATGCGGAGTGCGATGGCCCACTGCTGTAGTGACATTCGTGTTCCGGTGTTCGACTCTCTACTATGAATATCAGCCACTCACCTGCAGCGGGATAAGCGCTCCGAAGGTGTTGGAAAGTCCCTCTTTGAATTCATCGAAGGTGAGCAAGTGACCTTGACCGCGGTGGAGGTGCCTGACAGTAGTAAGATTACAACGACACCAAGAGGTGTAGATTGGTGTAGGTGTAGTTGGTTCCAAAGGATCACATGAGTTCGAACAACGCAAGACGTGTTATTGCGAGTTGCAGGAAACGAGTCCGGCCGTGATTCCGGCAACTCGATGCTGGACTTTCCCCCTAGAAGCTCCGGAAAGGAAACGATCTGTACACGCAGCTCGCTTGTTTAGAGCCTCCCAACAATGAACCCAAGCATCGCTGGGTGCGACAAGGCATGACGACAAAGTTACGAGAAGAAGGTCCAGCGCAGCACAACCGGTGGACATGGTTATCACAGTTGTCCCATCGGGACCGGAAGAAAAGTCTTCAAATTCGACGGTTGCATCAGTGATTCCAAACAAGACCATGGTGAAAGAGGTGGACTCGAGTGTGTGTCGAACGGACAGCCGACCTTGGGATCGAAGAAGCTGCCTTTCAGCTTGCCAGAAGACGCATACTCTGCTGCTACAAATGTGCATCCGTACATTCTGCGTGAGCGTTACGTCGAGAACTGACAAACAGTTGGGGCGCACTCGAAATCGCGAAACTTTCGGAAACCCTGGCCGACAGACACTCGAACCCGGTCCTTTCTCGCATGTCTTATTCCCTCTGGTTCCTTCTAGCATGTCGGTAGTCTCGTGACCACTTGCAGCAGGAGGCTTCTTACGATAGACAGGGAACAGGCCTATTATTACCGGTGGCATGGCTGACATCCACTCGTTTGCTTGGAGACCGGAGGCCTGGCGGCTCATTGAGTTGCTCAAAACTTTTATCTGCATTCTGAGGGCGACTTTCGATATGAAGAACCTCTCCAATCATGTGTCTTCTGGTTCGCAGTTGCTAAGAAGCCGTCGGCGATCGCGACCAAGCAACTATTTTCTTGAAAACAACGCGAAAGTAAACAGCCGACGTTCCCAACACCGCCATCACCCGTTGCAGCAGCAACAATGACGACAATAGAGAAGCCAGCCAAAAACAATAGCACTACCTGAATGAGCGCTTGACAAGCTCCTTGGCCGGTTCGTTGCAGGTGATGTTGTCGAGAAGGTGCTCTCTAAGATACCCCCCGAGCAGCTTGGACATTGTTTCGTTGATGTCTTGATTTTTCTGCTGAACGCGCGTGGCGGAGCAGCATTTCGACAGCCAGCGCTGGTGAGGCGACAAGCGGAGAAAGAGAGAACAAGTGATAAACTTTCGACTGCCGTGGTCCTTCACCGCTCGACATGTGCATTTTTTTTTGTTGAAGCCACAGCAGTGACATCATCGTGATATGGATCATTTGGAACTCGCTCCGGGAACGTGGGTAAATCCCTCAGGGTGTTTTCTATCTATTCTTCTCCAAAGAAATGCCCCGCGGGGCGAGGAGAAAACGCGCAAATAGGTGTACGCATTGGAGTGCAGCTGCCGGAGCAGACTGGCTCCGTAACTTAATGGTGTATTGCTCTCTCCCGTGGGGCATTAACCACAGTATTTTCGGTACGTTCTAGACTACATTTACAAGTACCCGCTTAAGAACTATTGGCAGTTGGTTTGTCATTATGGTCGCCCGCCGATGTATCCAAACACTCTTTCCCTGGACGGAGTGCAGCAAGCGACCTTGTGGCCATTAAAAATCATGCCCATCGTATGTGAACATTTTGCAGCGTGCTCTGGTGGAAACGAGGGGTGCACACAAGTTGGCTTGAATCTCGCTCGCCCCGGAGAAATGGACGCGACCACTGACCATCCACAACCGCCAGAGATCGTCTAGTCTACTGCAGAAGGTCGACAACCAGCAGTTAGTTGAATATGGCAGTCTGTGGAACAAGATACAAACGGCTCTGGTTCCGACTCCCAGTTTAGCGCCTATGCAGCACGAGTCTTCCTTCGACTATTTGCAAGTAATGCTGCTTGTCATGACACATCACGACACGGCGAGACACCGAACGAAGCTCACCGCAGAAGCAAACCCCTGTTCCTGTGCGCCACCATTGCGACGATCGTCGCCGTCTTCTCCCCGAGACCCGGGCCTTACTATCAGTGGCCTTTCCACCACGCTCGCGTTGTCATTTGTAATGTCGGGGTTGGGCCCGGCTACCCCTCCCCCGGACTGCGAGATCATGAGCCCGCCGCTGATGCCCCGGTCGGTACCGGATGTTGTAGGCCTCCTGCCTGAAACCCTTGTCGAGAAGGCAACCGTAGCCGCTGGACCTTCGTGACTACCGCCGGGGCTCCCGCGACTCCCTCCGCCGCGACTCGAGTTGATCGGCAACGGCGGTACACGGGTGAAGAGCTCCATGGCCTCACCCTGAATACTCGGCATAGGCGCCGCCTGAGGACTCATATTTAGACTATTCTTGTACACTTGTTGTACGCCGTACCAAGGTGTCGTGGGTAGCTCGACTGCTTTGTAGCTAGCTGCTGCGGCCGGCCGCAGCGACACACGTACGTGGTATTGTTGTTCCTGCAGCTGTCGGCACACTGCCAGAACTCTAACCTTATAGCTGTATAGTATAGCTTCGCTGGAGACACACGCGTCGCGACACGCACACATGAACAACAGCCAACCGCCACCGCCAAGCAACGAACGACAAAAAAATTCGGAAGCCGAGGGAGAACGAAAGAAGCGGCGAAACTAAAAAGAGTAACCGCCAAGACCCCCCCCCGCTGAACATCAAATATTATCGTGCGGCGCCCCTCGCTGCCCCCGTCGCCTGTGTGTGATGCATGGCAGCATCGCATCATCGCATCGCGGTGTGTGCTACGTCTGTCGCTATTCGCGAAAGCTTCTCAGCTCACCTCCCGTCTTGTCTCCAAGAACGGTGAGCGTCCTCGTCTGTTCGCTACTGCCGCTCTTTTGGTCAAACTGCTGCGAGGAGATTCGAAGCTCTAAGTACATCCTGGCTGATCTTGATTTTCCCTTGGTTTTTTATTGCCAACTGCCGTGTAACATCATGTGTGAGTTTGGCCCCGTCTTGGTACAGCTCTGACATCAAACAACGCTTCGAAGTATTTGAGACAAAGAGAGGACCGCGGTACGGTATCGACCTGTGTTCACTGCTCATCGGTGCGTATGCTGCTTTCGTATGGGCTCTCTTCGCTGCTATTGCCTATTGCACGATCTGGCCTGATTGCGGCAGAGCGCAGAGGGCCTGCAGTGTACTGACTGTCGCAGTGTACTGTCTCAGTCTCAGCCTTGTAGACCTCCACGCATATGTGTATCGGCGGCCTTGACGGTAGTGCAAGCCCGACGTGTGCACTCCACGTTGCCGGAGCATGATCGCTGTAAAGCAACTGTCCTGTAAGTTGAGCTGTTGGCAGCAGCAGGCAACACGCACGCATCTTGCACCTATTCATGAGCACCCCGTTACAGCAGAACACCGACACACCCCACCGTGGAGACTGGCAACTTGGGCTTCCTAGAGACCAAAAGCTCTCAGTACGGCCGTTCGCAGTCCCTCGAACTACAGTGTCGGGTACGATGCGAAATCGCAGCTTCCCTGTAGTCGTGTGTCATCAAAACCCTGTCCGGCGCAGCAGCCCGTCCATGTTCTCCGTACGTTATATTCTACCGGTAGTGGATATCCCCTTGGTCTGATTTGCAAGGCCCGATTGCTCCACAACGAAGAGGAAGCCACCAAATCAAACGCACCTTCTCCGAAGGTGCTCGACGATGCGATTCTACAAACGGCCGCTATTCTGGACACCGTCACTATTTTCGCAGTAGGCGAGTTTTAGTAATGCGGTCAGGGTATGGTTCGTATGCAACCTACAGGCTCGACTACGTGACACGTGCCTGATCGCCGTGGCACTCAAAAGGTTCTTGGCATCCCGCTTCTACATCTTTGCAGGCTGACGCATGTTTAGTCGTGATCAACTGGTCCCCGCTCTGAGCGCCTACCCGGTCACAGTGTTCGCCCACAGTACGTATACTTCTTTCGGAAACTGCTGTAAAACAGTCTACAAATATGTTCGTCCATGTCCAACGATGCGAAAGGTTGCTGTAGGCGTTTGTACCAAGGACTGTTGCTGCCTAGCACTCAGTGGCTTCATGGCGGCTGGCGATTTTTGGCACATGCTCACCCGAATACTGTTGGCTTTGGCGGTGCAAACTGTGCTTGAAAGGATAGAGTAACGGGACGCGAGCAGCCGCCGTCAGAGCGTACGTTCCTTTGGTCCTGGTGGTAACGTTGAGATGACGCGCTATTGCTAGACCCCCCTCGCAGCAGTGCCAGACTGACAGTTGTGTTGCCATTGCCATGTTTGGCTTTTTCGTGTCTCCGCCCTGCTTGCTCAAGTCTATCCAAGCGATAGCTGTCGGCACACTAGGCAGGCAAGGTGGAGAGGAAGAGCGAAAAGAGCGAAAGGCAGACCGCTCAGGAGAGACCACGACACCCATGCATCGCAAGGAAGACGAGAAACCCTCGGAGGAATTCTGGGAGCACTTCTTCCGTGAAGAGAATTTCCAAGGCGTGAGTGGAGTTGATGCAGATGCGTGTTGTGCCGATGGTACGTGTCACGCAAGAAACCCTCCGATCCTGAAATGTCGCTCATACCCGAGCGGGACTGAGTCAGAATCAAACCCTCGTTACAATTGCATGTATTTATTGCACCGTGTGCAAATTGGTGTCTTGCCCACCCTCTACTGTGCACGTGCTGTAAGACCCGAAATCAATCACGTGACAAGCTGTCGTCCTTTCGCAGAAGCAAACATCCCAAGGAGGATTAAAGTTTGCCTCGGAACCTGCCCCGACGGGAAATTAACCTGCCCCGGTGGTCATCCTCCCAGCCTCTATCCCACGCGCACAGCACCCGTTGATTTCTCTTCAGCGGCCTATTCCCCTTGCTCTTTCCCAGAGCAACTTCCCCGCTCCCCACCACTCCCTCCTGATTGTTTACACTCTACCCGCGAGCAACACTCCCGGCTGAGATTACCGACGAGGAAACGTCCTTTCATCTACCCTCCGCGTTTCCCGTTTCCCATTCACTCCTTCTTCCTGTGCTTTCACTCAGAAAACTCTCGGAGACTTCCTGAACGAAGCGTCTCCCTCTCCGACCGCTGTGAAAAAGAGAGAGGCATGGTTCGACGTTCCCCATCGGGAGCTTTTCTACAAAGAAGAGGACCTCCGCTGCTTCCGCACGAACGGCACCTACATCGGAGACGACTGTGACCCGGATGATTTGGAGGAAGAGGCCGCTGGAACCGAACAAGAACCGGACCAAGAATCAGAACCACCGGCAGTGTCTGTTTCGTCCTCCGCGGATGATGCCATTCGCGTTCCACGCAGGAAAGAGGTGGAACACACGGAGTGCCAGGAAGAGGGAGAGTGGGAGGAGGAGGAGGGGGGGGGGCGGTTGCCGGGTACGGGCTCGACGGGGTGTAGACCCGCGCAGACGCCTGAAGAGTTGTGCCTCGGAGCCGCAGCTTTCGCTGCCGCTTCCGCTGCTTACGGTAGGCCTTCTTCTTCGGCATCTACGCCTGTGGCCCCCGGTGGGCTTGCGTTGCCGTCCGAGGGCGGTGGCGGTACCAACGGTTCTTCCGAAGGATCCGGGAAGCTTCCTTTGGAAGGAAATGCAGGGAAAACTCGTTCTTCTGGACGTTCTCGGAGTTCCAACGCTGCCGCTAGCAGCGGCGGAAGTGGCAACGGCAGCGGCAGCGGCAGCAAGAAAGACCGCCCGACGGGCAGCAGCAGGAATGTCAACAAGAGCGAAGGGCATGGCGGACTGAAGCAGCACCAGAAGCAGCGTCACGAACGAGTGGGAGGGAAGAGGCAACGGAGCGCGGCGACGGGCGATGGTGGGCTAACGGAGGCTTCGGTTGGCGATTCCAGTGGGGACGATCCGCGGAAGAGAAGGAGGGCGGCAGGCGGCGTCTTGGTGAGTCCTGATGTACCTGATGAATGCTGTACTGTATCGCTCTAAAGTTGACAATCTCGGCATGCTTGTGGTTTGTGGTCACGTGTGCCTTCCGCTACGCACAACCTCGATACACGTTCACTTCTCATTTCCCTACAGCTGCTTCTCTTTGTGTTTGGTGATGCATGTGCAGTCGGAGACCGGGCCATGTTCATGACGGTTTTGACAACCTACCCAAATATCACGTCGCGAAAGTCCTCGCGCGTGGGATGTCGCAGCATTCTGCCCCCCCCATTAGTTACCCGGCACCATCTCACCTCTAGGTTTGTCTTTCCTTTACCCTGGGTGTTGCGTGCTGATGCTTCGTTCAGGGTCATACGGAATTATTCCCATCCCCGAAGCCCTCCTGGCTTTACAATCATGGGTAGATAGGAAAGCTGTTTTAGTATTCACTTAAACTCTTGAGGTGTTGATCGTGACTCTCCGAAGGCAGGATGCCGAAATACCTCCTTTGTGTGTGCAGGTAGTGGAATTCTCAAATTATTCGGGTGGCGTCAGTCGGAATGGTAACGGCTGTACGCTCCTGTAGTACGTCTGTGTTTAACCCCAGGTAAAAGATGCGGCGTGCTAGGCCTGTAATCACCCAAAAATTGTTTCGTAGCGGTGGGTATCGTATGACTGCGGTGGCTATCAGTTGTGGGGAGCGAACGACCAGTTAAGCTTTTGGTTGGTAGGGCTGGTGGGGCGTGTGTTGCAGAAGCAACTATCCTGGATGGAGACGATGTGATCAATGACGTTTCCCAATGTGATGATGGCGGCAACGACACTAACTGCTGGACTATTTTTTTCGTGTGCAGGCACCGACGAGCAGTTCTCTCGGCAGAGCTGCGTCAACAAAGTATGTCCTGGGTGAAATCGGTGTCGCCAACAACAAAGACCCGATGCACAGGAAGCTTCTTGAGTTCCGCCAGAAGAAGTCCACCACGGCGACCGCCGTCCCGGGGGCAGGCACCAGCAAGGCGCCAACCAAGGGTAAGGGGGAAGTATCCAAGACGACATCTGTCCACACTGTAGCGGCCATACAGGCAAAGTCGGCACGTGGACGGCCTGCCTCAACTCGAGGCAGGACTAGTGCCGCCTCGGCCCACGCGGATGCCGCGCCAAGAGCTGCGGTTCGGGGTTCACGATCGGCGTCTTTGAGGGGCTCGGTGGCCTCGGCGGCGGGGGCACCGGCGAGGGGGATGGCAGGGACGGCCAATTCCACCCCACGTGGTGTAAGCTTAGGCGTGAGCAGCGCTTCCATCGCCGGAAAGGCAGAGGCGGAGCACAAGAAAAGCGTCTTCTCGTCTGCGAACGTTCCCAGGAGCAATCCCAAGACGGTGTCGAAGCCGGTGACTACGGTGAAGCGCAGCGTCAGCGGCACAGGCGGTGGTGTTGGAGGGCCGAAGAGTGCGAGAGAGCGGTCGACCGATGTGAAGCGGAAGGGGCCGACAGTGCTGTCAAGCAACGTGACCGACCGAACGAAAAGGTGCGCAGTAGAGACTCTTGGGCCACCGGTGTCGCCGGCAGTCCTTTTCGAGCGCGAACACATGTGTCGGTCAGTCCATGTGGTGGAACGGGGCTACGCAGTCAACACGCATGTGATGTTCTCTCTCGCGTTCCTATGTCGCGATCTGTTTCCGCTGGTGTTTGCACTTTCGCAAGGAGATTTGGTTATTTATGCACCTACCGTGCGATATTACCTTTCGCCACGGTAGTGTTGGATGGCTAACGATGATCAACAAGAGTGCCGACTTGTTCAGTTCGTGCATGATACACGCCAGCCTTGGATACGGAGTACCTTATGTGATGACCATTTGTGTGAGTTCTAGCAGGAAACTCGCTCAGGTCACTTTTTGAGACAAGTGCACCTACGTGATGCGTATCTAGCAGGCTCCCTTTTGTGATAAGAATGGATGCATTTATTTATGTCTTCTGTGACCCTGGGGTACATGATTCCCCCGACCTAAACACCTCGCCATAGGACAAACCCAAGTAAGTTTATATAGGTCGCCCACGCGGCCGAGATTTGTTTTGTGCTCGATATGAAATTCCACCATGAAGATTTTCAACGCAACCGCGAACGTACTGTTTCATGTGGTACCGCTACCAGACTGTTCGTACAACTTGTAGCAATGTCCCCGAGTGAACATCTTGCTCAATGGCTATCACCCAAACTGATATTCTCGATGGTCTTCCGCGCTAAATTCTTTCTGGCACGTGCTCGTTTTCTCTCTTTTCCTTTTCTCAGGCGGCCTTGCGGAAAGAATAATATTGACAAAGACGACTCAGCGGCATTGAGCTTTGACGAGGATCTTAAGGCCAAGCTGGCGGCGCACAACAGGGGGGTGACGAAGGGCAGACACACGTACGAGCCCTCCAAGGGACGAGTGAAGGACTGGAAGAAGGTGGGTGCCCTGAGTGGTTGAGGATGAGTTGGGGAATGTGGTTCGTTTGAAGTACATATGCACCTCCGGCTCTATGGCAAGCACATTTGAGGTGTAAATGTGTTTGTAGGAAATCCTGGCATACCCTCTGCATGTAGCGCGTTGGACATGCGGGGGGCTAGGATTGCGGACTCATTTTTTTGGAGCAATTTCCGTCTTCTTGGTTTTCCCAGTACTGTACGTGCGCTCCGTTTGCATTTTTAGCCCACATTGTTAATCCTGCTCCCGCGTCGTCGGCCTGGGTTGGTAACTCCATTCCCTTTTCTATAATGGGAGAGTGGCAAGCCACAGAAGGTGATGGACGTCTTGTTAACGTCATGAAAAGTGGTGTTGGTAATTTTTTCCTTGTCCTCGCCTCCTTTTCCTCGATACTTTCCTGACTCCACCCGCCCGCTGCTGTATGTTGCCTGGCTGACTGTACTCTGTTGTTCATTCAGTGGGAGAGCAAGACCGGCAAGAAGTACTATTCCCTCAACCCCGACGAAAAGGCCGACGCCAACAGAGAGATACTCGCCATGCTCGCGGCGGAGAAAGACGGATAGTTTCCCTGGCAGGGCCATGCTCGCAGCCAAGAAGGATAGCGCTTATTTATAAATTTGAGACCTTCCCCAGCAGGTATACAGAGAGATATCGTTGCAGCTTGTGGTACTTGTAGTCCAGCCCTCGTAACCCGTGTTGCCCTGGTCCTGGTCGACAGATGCTCGCCGAACTTTGAAGACTAATTGTTTTAAGGCCGGGTAGTAGTGGCCTTTCCAAAGCAGCTACCACTCGGAGCTGAACACGGGCCGAGGGCTTGATTTCAGATGTTCTGCTTATAGTACGAGGGTTGCCTCAGGGCAAAAGAGTACGTCGGCATTGAGAGCAACGCAACAGGTCAAGGAGTTGATTCGATACGAATACGAGCTATGGGATAAGCAGACTCCATCGGCAGAGTAAAAAGGACCGGGATCTACAGCACCCGTCGAAGCCAGTGTACACTCGGTGGCGCCTAGTCTCGACTGCTATCGAATTGTGTTGTGGCTTAGTGAATAGATTGGATGTTCGGGCTTCAATTAAACTTTTGTTGTGAACATGAAACGATACGTTGATAGTCCCGAGCAACCACACGTGAATGGAGCGTCGCCACCGAGTGCTGTTGGTGTGGTGGCCGTCCGAAGTGGGAAGACAGCCGAGACAGTAATGGATGCCTAGACCTGGGCACCATACTGCGTTGTAGCACCAGCAACGCGGGGTTGTTGCTGTTTCGGGTTGCGGTTCCCACGGGTAGCTTGAATGTTTTGTTCCCCGACATGCACGATACCAACAGCACACGCGGCAACAATGTATCGATACAAGGTGGCGACAAGCACGTCCTGTCTAGACCACCTACCAACCACAGGTTCCGGAGGGCCTCTTTTTTTTGTTTCCGCTATGAGGGGCACTCGCCACAATGTTTGTCGTGGAGTTGGCGACTAGAAGTACTGCAAGGCAAAGGCTGTTTGTATTAGTTGCCAACCAAACTGGATCAATCCGGCGCGAGCAGGGGAAGGCCGAGTGTAGTACAAACGATAATTCGCCTCCTGCGATACAGAACGCAACAATTGTTTTATTCCCGAGGATCACTGATTGCTCGCTCCGTGGGCAAATCCAAACAGGCTGAACGGAGTTGCTTTGTAGTATTGGGTCAAGACACGGCGGTGCGTCCTAGACTAAACCAGGTTGCCAAACGACGGAACACCACGGAAAACCAAGTGGTCTAGAGTACAAATCGGGATAGACTAATCTTGTCACGTCTTCGTTCGGCCACCGAGCCCTGAAGATGATTCAACCTTCCTTGCGGGGAGGAGGAACGTCCAATATGACAAGTGTGAATAATGAGAGCACGCCACCGGACTTGCACTCACCCCAGCCCTAGGAGTCCTGCATCACGCCCCTCACTTCCTTCCCTTCTGCACCTGTCCCGGCGGAGTACAGGCCGACACCAACGAACACGCAAGCGGATGGAACATGCTAACAGAAACCTAACGCGAGGCTCGTTTTCCATCAAACGATTCCCTCAATCAAGCTTTCTAATATAGCCTGGGTATGCACAGAACGAGCTGGAAACCAGAGGGACCAAGCAATGTCTGCGGCCATCGCAGGGCATCGTTTCCTTTCTCCACCCGGTCAGGCGGCACCCTCCTCCAGGCGCGATTGCCATCAAATGGCCGTGAAGAAAGCGGCGCTCATCCAACACTGGTACATGCTCACGGGGTGTGGGTCTCCTGCTAACCACAACGCGAACAGTGACCGTCATGCTGCGTGACTTCCTTTATCGATGCTATCATAGCCCCGCCCTACCACTCCCATGGGAGGTACTAGTGAATAAAAACTGCGAAACCTTGGAAGCACACCCTCGGTTTGCGAGGAACACACGGTGATCAACGTCGCGGATTTTCGGTCGTCGGCCCGCTTTGGCTTCCTGGTAGAAGGTAGACCTACCACCGGCCATTGGCAGGGCAAGGGGTACTCCCGAAACAAGCACCAACCACGGCACTATTTGTCTGGGAATCTTGACGAGTGCCGTTCAGGAGAAAGCAGCACGGCCTTCCATTCGACGCTAATACCTAACCCAAACGAGGTAGAGCCATTTACAGACAACCGTTGTTGGTGAAGGGGTCGGTGACAACCTCGTGGGTGTGAAGTGGTAACCGCACTGCTGAGAGTACGGTAGGGGGGGCATCTAGGCTCTGGCGGCGAGACTTGCTTAAGCCCGAAGGCCGGGGTTGGGAGGGTTGACCCTTCCCGGAATGTTCTGGAACTTTTTCATCACGAACTTTCCACCGTCAACATGTACAACGACGGGACAGGCATGGGGAGGGGAGGGGGGGGCTGTTGCGTCAGGAGAAGGAAATTCAAAGGAACGTCGCATGACAGCTCACATGCCAAAAAAAAAAGCACAGAGAGGACTTGGGAGGAAACACGTGGCGACATGCTGGGATAGCCCTGCTCGTGTCAATCTGGAACGATTTGGAGAAGATTGTATCGACCGACAAAGAGCCCAATCTGTCGGTATGTATCCGGTCCATGAGACCGGTCCATGAGCTACATGCTGATGCCAAAAATCGTTCTTCCACAGGTAACAACGACCAACACTGCCACGATTTTCGGGACAAGGCGAAGCCATGATGCAAACCCTCATGCAGCCACACGGATTCTTAAGTATGCAGTTTCAAACACGTTTTCGGCATGCTTTGAGTACAGTTGCCAAACTGCGAGGGACGATGACCGCACGCTTTGGTTGCGCAGGTGTTAATACTAGCATTTGCATATTTTGTGCATGTGTTGAATGCTCGGATCATCACATCTTTCTCTCTGGGCTTCCATAATATCCACGATATCCTTTCGGGGGGTCGTTTGCAAAGGCGCCCGCCTAAGATCTACCAGGAAGAAGGGTTGAAGGTACGGTACCGAACAGACACGCTTCCCTGAGGAGGAAACAAAGGCAGCAACAACAACAACAATACCAGCACACCAACAAGGCCGTACCGGTGTGCCTTGCTTGGGCGTGGGCTTGAGGGTGATGTTGTGGCCTTGGGACGCCTTGGTCTCCCTTGGCGGAGGCATTCGCTGCGATACGGTTACACAAAGGGGGGGATGTCTCATACGGGCTGCTACGAACATGTGGAGCTTGTGGTAGAGTGATTCAAGAAGGTGAGACGTGTTTTGGCAGGTTAGCTCCGACCTCGGAGCAGGAATTAGTGCCGACTGCGACATACACGAGCTGTTAAATTTGGACACCGGCGAGCAAGCAGCACGCTGCATAGTATGCAATGACTGAGGAGGAAGGAGAAAGTGCCGAGATCACATGCATGGTACACTAGTTTTGCTCTGGAAGCCCTCTGCGTGCGCACTTACTCATGGTGTAACACCTTTGGAAGAGGGCAAGGACAACCATGTCTCAATATTCCACCTCTGCGGATGCCCTACGTGACGATAACCGCATATATAGCCACACCTAGCAACGACGACGATGACGGCAACACTAGCAGTCCACCCAACACCATCAACGTATAGACAATAACGAGGAGTTGGGCTCACGAATTTCTTCTCGAGCACGCTGACGTTGGGGTAGTCCTTGCCCTCCTGGCTGAAGTCGGTGAACCTCGCTTCGATGAGGGCCGACAACGGGCACGCCATCTTTTCTGACTTGGTTCCGTACGGCCCGTCGAACGGAATCTGCACATGTTTTCAGCCGGCGTTGTCGTGAATCATATGCTCTCCTTGGATCTGCGAAGCCAACACAATCTAGTGCCACTATCAACAGCTTCAATTCCTAACCCGATCTAGCTATCGTTATCCTGGCCAAAACCAAACGCCCACGCACCTTGTCTTTCTTGCGCACGCCTCCCTCCATGGTTGTAGATCCCGACGGTGCGAACCGGATCTCAGGGTGAGCCTGTGACGGCGGGGAATATGGCCGATAAGAATCCACCTTGTTGGGATATGCAGTAGACGTACACAGGGCTCCCGATGGTTTCATTGACATTAGGATAGTAGATGGGTTCATGTCTACATGGATACTGTTAGGGGTGCCAATCGGGCCGATTTTGGCGGAAAAAAGGGACCAGTCTATTCGAGGATTTTGGGGAAAAAAGGGGGGGCACGCGGATTGTTAGTTCTCAGCTCAGCTCTTGAAATCATACCGATCAAAGTATACTTTATCATCCGTATGTTTGTTCAAGAGTCCCTGCGTCCAGGCAGCGATCTGGCTCTTCATACGTTACACACATCTGGAGACAGGTCATCTACACGTGACTGCGGGTTCGTTTTCTACTGACGTTCAAAGGGCGGGCGAACAACACAGAAAACCCTATGAAATTCGGTTTGAAGGCTCACGCTCGTGGCCGTGTTTGGTGATCGTAGAACAGCGGATCCGCAGCGCACAGCCTCGGGTTTTCAGCGACAGAACGCAAGAAACCGAACTAGAATCGCACAAACTACCAGCGAGAACCGCATGTCTGAAAATGGCCAGTCAAGCACGCCAAGCACCGCGGTCGAGGTCCCCAAAAAACGCAAACGCTCGGCCTTCGGCGCGGGGGGAAAAAATCGATTTCGTCGCAACCTCCAGAAAAACGAACGTAAATACGTAGAGCGGGAGGGGCGGACCTTTGCCGACGCGACCGGAGCAGCGCACGCACAGCGCGCGGTCGAAAGGGGCGGTGTTGCCGTCGCGCAGAAAGCGCTGGTAGAAAAGGAGCAGGAGTTGATCGAAAGTAGACAGCGCGAGGCGGCGAGCGCCGCTGGGTGCAGCATTGCTCAGGAGCGTTCTATGTGATTTGATTGGCTCGAGCGATTTTCCATCTGGAAGATCCAGGTCACTTTTTGAATAAATTTTCTAAAGGAAATTTGACCGATTGGCACCCCTAACTGTACATTTCCAGTGAGAACATTTCCAGTTAGCGTCGCCCTTGGTCGTGTATACACCGGCAAAGACGCTAGGAGTTTCGACGAACCGGTGCTTGTCGTTGGTCTCCTAAGACGCAAGCGCTCATGGGTCGCGTTAGGCGAATTCGTTTCCGAATTTCCAGAACGTGGGGCATTGCAGACGAGGGTACAATATAGATATGGCTGCGAAGAAGATCGTGTGTTTCAGATGCGGGGGTAACCGAAAGTCACTACTGGAGCAGGTCTCAAACTTGGAAATTCCTGTGTGCCAAGGAGGTGTGCAATAAGTTGCGTGTGATGGTTTTCAGCTGTTGAGTTTCATGCAGCACCTGGGCAAAGAGCCTGTTGTCCTTGGCGGTGATGTTTCCATAGTGGATGGCCATGACGTTCGTCTTGATCAAGTTTCGGTCCGACGACTTTGCCACCGACGGCTTGGAGACGTCCCACGTTGAGATTACTGGAATATACCGTCATCACGTTCGTGTATTTAGGAGAAGGGGCGGAATACCGGCAACATTTTGCAAGAAGAACACACAGAATAGCCTCCAGGTACTACTGGTGAGGTTTCACTTACGCCAATAGTAGCATCACACGACCCCCGTCAGCTTCTGGTGTTGGGATGCAGGTGCAGTTGGAAGGAGATTCAAGAATGAGTGCCGGACAGGGCGACGGCCACCCTCGCCCTCGAACGCCTCGAGATCTATCTAAGCATCAAAGCAGAGGTGTACCGTGTACCTACTACAAGATACCGGGTTGCAGATCATTTTGGTTGTTGCTCAGGTACCTTGCACAACACGCCGTGGTGAATACCACGTGCAAACAGTCTGAACGACCGGTACAGCGATACCGGTAGTCGTTACGTGCTTCACAACAGCAGTATTTGGTGTGATACTTCGTGAGTTCCCACTTACCCGCTCCCGCCCCCTCGACGTCCTTTGTGACGAGGGCGCCGTACGTGTGACGAGAGGGTGGAAGCTCTCGCGTACTCGTCCGGACCTTGGTGAGTGTGAGCGATATTGCGGCAATCCGAGGCCGGTCCGACGAGAATGGAGCGGAGAATGGCGACTACGGCACGCAACAGCCCTCCAACTCAAAAGTTGGGTTGGACAAGGATCGCCCATGTTTGTGCACTGTTCATATCGATGGCTTCCCAGGGTAGCCACGGGATCCAAATCTGTTACGAGTGAGGGTCATGACGGGAACACATCGAGCTACCTTCCCAACGTGACATTTGCAGACATGTGGCCTATGTACAAGAGGCATTCCATGTTTCTTCCAGAGCTAAGGGACCAACACCATGAGAATGACAAAGGGGCTACCGGAATACCACCTTGGAGCTTTCCACTACGGGAAAGAGCTGTTACGGTGGGTCTTGTAGGTGAAACTCTGGACTGGTAACTCGATTCTGCACTCGTTTCTCACTATCCCAAGATTAACCAACTCCAACTAATACAAGAAACACAAGCACAGAAAGAGGTCACACTGCTGCGATTTGACCACAATCTGACTATCGTTCTAGGTTCTAGGTAGGCGATCGTGTAGCTCTCAGGCGACGCACCCTCTTCAAGACGCCCCCACGATCACTTCGACCCACATGTATTCTCAGTCAAGCTAGCGTGGGGCTGAACTAATTGTGACTTGGGTAGGTGAGGCAGGCTTGATGACGAAATCGACGAGGGTTCGTGAGGCTCACCTTCCCAACGACATCCTTGACCATTGTCGCCTTCTTTGCGTTAGCTTTCACCATGGTTGATACCATTCACTGCTCAAAAGGCTCGCTCGATCCTCTACGGGGAGTCTTCGGCGGATGGATTCCTGCCTGCGCGGCGATCGTAGCAGGTATGTTGTTGTTTTCGTATTGTGCCCAACCACCTAGTGCTGAATATGAACTCTCGAGGGAAAGTTGGAGGCAAGCACCGGGAAATACTGAGAAACATTCATTTCGTGCCGTCTTCCTGCGTGATCCCAGCTGGCGCATGAAGCACACATTCAAGGGGTACAATTTTTTATTGTGTGGCAGCATTGTAGGGTGATGCGCAGAACAACGGGGCGGGAAAACCACGCACGCAGCTGGTGACGGTCACGCCCCGCACGATACATGCCCGTGTACATTGTTTTCTCGAAACTACGCCTCAAATGTATCAAGTCGCCATATGATATTGTAGTTTCGTTTTTTAATGGGCACATGAATCGACACCGGTGGCTTCGTGAGCGTAGGCGTGGAGTTCAAGTCTTACTCTTACAGCAGTCTGTCGACTACATCCAAGAGATACAATCCAAGTTGAGTGTACTCGAAATAACAGAGATCGCCCTCCGGCCGAAGCAGTGGATGACCGGCACTCATTGGCCGGTTTGTTCGAAAAGCAGCATCTGCTGAGGCAATCAGTCGTGCAAATCTGCGCGGTGCAAGCGAGGCATGTGAGAGCACGCGCGTACGTGACCATCAGGATTGAACCAAGAACTCGCGAACACCACGTGCGGCGTGACCTTGATCTTGGTCGGCGTTTGAATCAGTCCCTTGGACCGAAGTGAAGGTATTCCGTGGCCCCTGCTTCAAGCTCGTCCGCCGAGCTCAATCTTCCGTACGATTGATACCAAGAGCTTCAGTCTCCTAGAGTTAGTACACCAGCTCCGCTTGGCTTAGCGAGGGAAAGCAGCAATTGCGGGATCCCGTGATCCCGTTGATTACAAAATTGGAAATCCCGCCGCACCGCTGAAACCGCCGAACCGGAACTTCGCGGGTTCCGTTTTCGCCGCATTCCCTAATACCCATTCCCTGCCGCACTCAATAGACGTTACGATTTCAACACTTCCGTTCGATAGAGGAAATGCCCCCAACACGCAGTCTTCTGTTGTATGTTTATTTCCGAAGCACTGTAGCACGCACACCAGGCGCCCGCACACCAGGCGCCTCTTAGCCCTGCAGCACCCCATGTTTGGTACATCGAAAGTTTCACCGGATTTGCCCCCGGGATCGCCTCTGACAATTCGCAGCAACGACGCAGCGAACCCGTGCCAATGGAGCGCTGCCAATGGAGACGTCGACGTGAGTTTCGATGAGAAGTCGTAACCCATGCAAATGAAGCCTGGAAGTAGAAACGCCGCCGACGCTCAAACGCTTGTTTTGGGCCAGAATACATACCATCCCAACAGTCGTAGCTCGCTGCAACCTACCAACCTACCGTTCGGCTGTATGTACACGAAATTTGCACAGCAGTGGTCTATTAGACTATTGTGACTTTCGGTGCTGTGTGCTGTCGGGTCGCTAGCTATTGCCGGCCCACTCGTAAGCAACACAACGCCCAGGCTTAGGCTGCAGTATAATTACTGAATGGATATTGAGCTTATCCGCCGGCACCAAACCCTAACTCTGACTTTCAGCTTTGGCTGTCTAGTCTACAAAGACCACGGCAGTATTCCTTACTGCACCGGTAAAAATGTTCCAGGCTCGGCTATAGTCTAAATAGCCGACCCGTGGAGTTTCTCACCATTTGGAAGCATATTGTAGCATACCTAGCCAATTTTATGTTGTGCGGACACGCACGGGCATCTTGGGTTGTAATAAAACATTTCTTGCCTCCTGTTCCCAAGAGCGTTTTCGCCATCCAACTTTCCCCACAACCGGCTGACAGAAAACAATGATCCAGTGTCGATCTACCTTGAAAAAGCAAGCACCCCTGCATCCTCAGACATGACCCCGTATGAGGCAGGGTGTGGGTTGTCACAATCTTCTTTCGGGTGTGTGTTTCTTACTCGAAGTACCCACCAGCTAGCTTTGTTCGCTTTGTCTACCTAGAAGGCTGCTGCAGATCTGCCGGCTGCCGAGGCTCGCTGTGTCTGTTCTCCCAATTATCATGTCGCGCGAAACTGAGTCGGCTATCCTCAACCAAAACATTCTTGCCTTCGGGCCCCACCTGAAAGCACAACAGTCACGAAGTCCCTCGTAGACGCATTCTTGACCGGGGTAGTCAATAACATGACTCTCTGGGCGTGTTCGGATGACCCTCTCGAAACCCAAATGTTGAGCATAATGCGACTACAGGTTGAAACCTGCACCGGGTAGAGCACAGAATAGTGCTTCCCGGACCGTGGGAGGTGCTCTTGAGGTAAGACTTATTAGAAACTTACGGTTCCTCGTCGCTCTGCTAAAGTCCCCACATAGACAGTCTGCACTACATTGACCAGTACCTCTTTAGGCGTTCTCTCCATGATAGGAATTGCGTGATGTCCCGAACGTCGATGCCGGTACCACCTCGTCGAACACGAAGGTTGGCGACGTTGTCGAGGCACAGAGGCGACACATTGTGTTAATGCTGCTTAAGGGGAAGATCTATGGCTTGCCGGGGTCCCAAGGAACGGTGAGTTGTGTGCACTGTAGCCCGTTGCGCATCCTTTCAAACCCTTCTCGATGAAGATGCAGATTTTCACATCGATCTTGAACGTAGGACCGAAGCAACAGAACTGGAGAGTATTGGAATCCGGGCCATGACAACGATAGTGTCCGCATGCTGTGTTTCACTGATGAGGGAGAGCGCATGATCTCGTCTGGTTGAGAGGAGGAGCTGAATTCACCTTCGGGTGCGCCCCAGGTCGACCCCAACCCAGGGTGATTCAACCGCGAAGGCGTCATCTGTGCATTCACCGAGATTCAACCACGTCTTCAGATCCCATGCAAATTGGTGTCTCTTTGTCGTGTAACAGGTATTCTATCGATACTTCAATTTCATGTCTCGGCGAGGCTATTGTACAGTGCTTCCAGTCCAGTGACTGCTTGTAGGCGCGCGGTATATGTGCTTCGTCCTGTGTGTTCCCGTCGCACCCTCGCGAACGCCATGTCACTTTGATGAGGTAAATTTCTGCATGCGCTATACTGCTCCTGACGACAACCCCGTTAGCTCTGGTCTCGTTCGGCCGCACATCTGACCCCGGGGGACGACTGCGGATAGTATGACAAGCGATAACCATGATATAGCATCCAGTTCTACGGCGGCACGTACACGGCACTGCTCACTACGTCGTGTTCGGACCAGCCCATTGTAGATAACTGGGCGACAGCAGTGAAACATGGTTGAAAACTACAGAACACTATCTTGACGCATAGGATGAAAATGACTTCAACGGAAGCCCCACGGTACTCGCCAATGTCTGTGGTTTAACCCCTTGCCGGCAGCGATGGAGTAACTTTCGCGAGTGGGCGAAGAACCAACATCCCGTCCTGAGCATGTTCTTCGCGCACGAGCTCCACCCCTTCAGTAGAACGGAGCGACTGAGTGTGATGATGTGCTACTTGTGCTGGGCCTTCTTCATCACAGTTGTCTTCGAATACGTGAGCGCCTGCTGGTAGCTGACGGACACTATCATTTCGTTGAGCATGCAGGAGGACAGTAAGTAAGTTTGTCATCAACGTTGTCGTCCTTTCCAGTTCGAACGCTTTCATTCATACGGGTATCACATTCTTACTCCCAGCTAGCATACGTAGTCCGCCAGTAATGCCCAAAAGCGCGATATTTGTCTTTCGTTCTCGTGAACAACATGTATGCCACAGGAGCACAGTCCGATTCCGGTGACATTCGGAATGTCTTCACCGACTGAGCAAACGACTGGATAGTGTCCATCTCGCCTGTACTTACAAGTCACACAGTTCGGTAGTAGTTTTCGATTTTCTGCGGTGTTGGCAATCTTGGGGCCGAAGGCAGGGAGGACAGATACGCGGTGGAAGTATATATTAACCTGTTTTTCAATATTTTGATCAATGGCTGCTCTCCTGATGAAATCTGTGACAGAGGGGGATATTGTGTTTCTCAGACTGTTGCTTGCGACAGACGCCCAAGGGGTTATCGCCAGCGAGCACATCCGGTTCGAACCTCAGCGAACGGCAAGCCGCACACGTGCTACAAACAGAGCGGTCATTTGCGCTGTCCGATGGAGCTCCGGCGTCCATGATTTGCCTCAATATCCATTCACACAACGCACCGGCAATGTTACTTCTCGGCGCTGAGGAAAGACTTTTGAAAACGATGGTAGATGAATCACGTATTCATCGCAAACGTCTTCACCGGTGCTGTTCTACACGACAGCAGGCAACGGACCACGCGTGTAAGATCACCTTCAAAGTCGTCCATTGAACCACCGAGTCATTTTTTTCGTGCTTTGGCCAACAGACACGCTCGCCTTGATCGCAATGCTGCCAAAACCACCCTCGTAGGCCCTTCTGAGCTGTGCTTACGTATTTGTTTGCCACCATCCGCCCATCCAGGGCAACAAGGACCAAGCCGCAATCTGCAACGCCGGGTGCAATAATACGTACAGTGGTCGGTTATCGGGAGAATATTATTCCCAGCAGATCTGCGGTCCCGGGAGCGGGAGCAACGAAGATACGGTAATAATCGGCCCGGCTGCTTTGTCTTCTGGTCTGGTTAGGTGGTCCTCTATGCCTACATATGTAGTGCTGGCTTCTTGATGATCTCGTCGACTGCGTTTCTAAGGATGGTTGTTTCGGTTGGTGGCCTGGCGTAACGTAACGACCGGTGACAACACCCGTACTGCGGTCTGTGCTGCAGTAGACTTCCAACAACAATTCGACTGGAGTCAATCGGGGTCTCGACTCCTTAATTATCGCGGAGTCGGCGATTCGTCAGTAAGTTGGCTTGAGCACGCAGGAAAACGTATCAGACGGGGGAGGGGTGAACGTCCAGGTAACGTCAGGGTTGGCTTTTGGCCTAGTTTCTTCGTCCCATATACTCTGGGCGCCAGTCTGCTGCTTTTGTTCTCTGTTGTGGGACCAGCCAGGGTCGCACAAGAAGAAAATCTCCAATCTCGATCTCGCGGTGCTGGCATCTGGTTGATAACATTAGAGTGGCTCGGCAACCCCATCGTTCTCTGCTGTGCTCACTTATTATGACAAGGCGCCAGTCAATTCAAAATAGCGATGTTGTGAAGTCGGAGAGATTCAACCCCTCAACATGGAGCCTGACTGGATTACGAGGTGACAACCTGAACCGTGTACCCGGCCAAACTCTGTGGGTGGTGAATATCTCTTGTATGATACATCACCATCTCTGCTGAACATCTAGTGGCGTTGGTATTAGTTACCCTACAATAAACGTTGCTCTAGCGTTCGCAAAGGCGTCAGAGGATCTCCATTGACAAGCACAAATACCTACTGGTACGGCTGAGTCATTCGGCTGTTGTAGTGGTGGATGCACGTTGCTGATGGTCGACTAGTCGTGTGACATGGTGCCACCAACTTCGAGAACCATGTCTGTGCCATTGAGCCAAACCAATAACTTAGAAGTAAATGTATCTGTGACGCCGCGTCGTTCGATATGTAGCGCCGTTTTTTCGACCACTTTGCGTGCCTGGTCGAGTATTCATGAACATGTCGTGGCCTTGTGCCCTTTCGGTTTACATGCAGTACCTCCGCCGGAAAGCTTCGCGTGTCATTTCGACAAACATGAGAATCTAACTCGAGACGGAACACCTCTGAAGTCGGAATGCAAGCCGCACATGTTATTCCCGCCACAGACGTCTGTACGACGTATTATCCACACTTGTCCGTACCTGACCCCACAAGACTTCATTGCTCTATGTAAGAATTCGGGCGCCATCTGTGTTTTCATGTACAGATATCCGCGGAGGAGTACGATAGCAACTGCGACGATGTGACTCCTTGGTGGGTGTTGTCCTTCCTCATCGCCGCAGCCACCGTTCCCTACAGGTGCGCCCCTCTGGCGTCATCCTTGTTGTTGTTACAATCGCCACTGTCAATCTTGGGGCCTGCCGCAGCTCAGGATACAGTCAGTGTAAGTAACTACTACGGACACATGATCACGCAGTCTCTCTTCATCTGAGGGAACTGACGTGATAACCACCTGTCGCTCACCCGTTCGTGGCAGCAATCGTTTGCTTTGATCGGTTTTCCGACCCACGTTGTTTGTGTGTGTTCAGCTTTCTTGGCGGTGTTGTCGGCCTTAATTAAACTGGCACAGATACCTCTGGGTTCCGCGGTGACATGAAGTTCCAAGGGGACGGATGAAGGACGATGAGCTGCATGATGTTGACATTCAACGTTGCGGGGAGACAACAATAAGCCCTGCCACAAGGCTCCATCTGCACTGCGAACAATGCCCCCCTCGCACAATAGCTCGGCCGCAAACGACTTTCAAGACTGACACACCCTGAGTAGCGCGAGTTTCCGCCGGTTGAGGAGTGTTTGGGTGCACTTGGTAGACGTTTTCACAAGAATGGCAACAAGATGCGTGCTTTCCACATTCCCCATCCCCTTTACTGCAGCACCATTCTCAAGTTCTTGGCGACCTGTGCGTGCGCGCAGTCCTTACCGAACTGCTTGAAGTCGTGCTTCGAGTGTTTGGGGGCCCTGATCCTGCGTCTCTTCGGAGTCCTTTCTGTACTATGGCTGGCAATGGGCATAACCTTCTCGGTAGGAGGCGCTTTTGGTCTGGGGATGATGGGCACCTTTCTGAATGTCTACCCGGGAGGTGTGTTGCACAACGTTGGGTGTTGGATCGAACTTCCGATGACGTCCTGTGTCGTTGTCGGATAAACGCCACCCTGCCCGCTTTAATGTTTGCCGAGATGAGAGCGCCGCGCGTGCCTTACGGATATTGTGGTTGCTTCGTGTGGACAAGCATGAAACGTCAAAATCGCGACACCGCCGAAAAATGACTGTAACAGACCGGATGCACCGGCACACACACACGCACACACACGGAGTGCCAACGGAACACTGACAAGCTGCACAAGCGGCACGATGTGCTACAGGAGATCGGAGTACCCACGTATCTCTTTCCCCCTGGTCATCGGAGATCGATGACTCACCAGCGAAAACCTTTTTGACGTGAAATTGACATGTTCTCAACTTGAACGGTTGCGGTATACAGCAACTGCAACCCACTCTTTTGAAGATCTGACATCCAAAATCTCTGACTGTTTCACAACTTTCTCGTGGTTCGAAACGTAAGCTCGAGCTCGACGGGGGCATGTTTATAGTGACGTACGTAGCCGGGGTGATCAAGAGCTGGTTCTACTGGCCGATTCTCGCCGGGGCAGTCTTCATGTACAAGTACAAGAAACAGAGAGCTGCTTTTCAGGAGGCACACCCGGGGCAGGTGGCCATGGCCTGGCCAATAAATGAACAGGTATGTAGGTGACGGCTCTGTACAACTCTTCCGATACGGCAGTCGGAGACAGGCAAAGGTTGTTCATCAGGAATTAGCACCCCAATGGTGATGATCCCGGCAGTGAAGGAGGCCGAGCGCCAAGTTAACGTTTTCCAGAGAGGACAACTTCGAAGCGCTGCGGGCCGAAGCGCATGAGATGCCGGAGCTGCTCGACATTGCGGAACCAGGTTCCATTTCGGAAATTTTTGTTACGTGTAGCAAGGGCGTACAGCAACGGCAACTGACGAGGTCCTCTCGGATTTCCCTTCTATGGTTGCCTTACAGGATCCGAATCTAGAATTAAAGGTCGCCAAAGATGGTGCGATCGCCGCATACAAGAGTCCGCCAGGATCTCCAAAGGCTGCTGCGGCGGCGGCACCCAACGGCCAGCCACGTCCGGGCCAGAACGGAGTAGCAACTCCGGTCGTATCACCTATTCCTCAGCAGGTACGGCAGCTTATCTTGATGTTGCTCCTGCTGTCGTCATTGTTGGTGGTGGTGGTATCGGGGTTGGTGACGTTGATGGTAGTCCTTCTTCTTGCAGCTGCTTTTGTGGCTATTGTGGTCACCGCTATAACTCAGTATCATGGAGATTTTCCTTTCTCCACCTTGCACCTCCAGAGCTTCAGTGTTCTTGGTTGTTTCCTGCCTCCGATCGCACCCAGGAAGCACCGTTCATATTCACGAGTCTCCACCATTTGAAGTTTGACCCCTATCCTTGTGACCAGGTCCTGACATACACGTTCCTTCAGTGGCGCTGGCAAGCCCCATAAAATGTAGCTATACACGAGTGCGCAGTTTTCATGCAGGGTTCCCACTCTACGAGTATTCGAGCATGCAACCCCATCAGTTTCTATCAAGGTGACGAATATGCCTAACCCCTCTTGCAGAACAATAACCCCATCGACAAAGCAATGCATAGATCAACCCTCTCCGTCAGACGTATTTCCGTACCCAACGTCGGGCACGAAAAAGCTTGTGTAGCATGGAAACGGCCAACCCCCCGTTACACAGCTCAGCCTGCATCGTCAAGTTTTTGGTGGCCTATAGTAGGATTTGCTCGAGTTTGTTTTCGTAGGGTGACAGGTGTAGACAGCAAAGATGTTTCTTAACAACGTAATGCACATGTTCATGTCCCCACTACACGACTGCTGTCGCACCAATTCCCTCCGTGCACGCTAGGGCCAGTTCTTTGGTGCTGGCCGTGGCGGTGGCGGTGGCGGTGCAGGAGGACCGCAGGCCATGGTCGTCCAGCACATGTCGTCACCGATGTCGCCCACGTCAACCAACAATAGCAACGGCACGCCAAACAACGGATATGGTGGTGGTGCCCCTCCACTTCAGCAACCAGGTGCACGACCCTTGAGGTTCGAGCAAACCGTATTGACCTTGGCAGCATGATATACACTACCTTTGACAACACAATATGACTACGTGATAGTGCGGGTGATCGTACTTCACCCTCGGCAGAGGCTCACACCTTCGTTGCTCCACACCCTAAAGGGAACCGCTGCCGAAAGGGGTGGTGATGGAATGATCTCGTCTAGAGTTTGGTTGTTCTGTATGCGTTGGCCAGTGTTCACGCTCTCGTGGCTGTGAAACGTTCGAGCCATGAACATTGGCCTAGGAGAGATGGTTCGACAGGCACTTGAAGGTAGATGGTGAACTTCGCGGTACGAGGTAAAGTTAAAGGTACGAGTTATCTCAAAAGGCGATGAGTAACCCACATGCCAGAAGGGAGACGTCGCCAGAAAACCGTGTGAAGTCTAGCCAAAGGGTTGACGGATCATTGTTTGGGCTATGGCATTGAGGACATTCTTCTGACCCGGATCTCGCCATGACGGATTGGTGGCGGCAACGTCGTGTTTTTTTTCTTCACCTTCGAGAAGTGTGCGTTGTCTCGTACTGCTCTCCTTGTATTGTGATGACGACATTGTTCATTGTCGTTGGTGCGTTTCTGTTACAGATGTCGTCGAAGATGTTCATGAGTAGGCGGGGTGTTGTGTGACGTTCGATGGCTGTGCTCAACAACGCCATAAAGCTGTGAAGGCGTTTCTGCACAGATGGCCTAGGAAAAACGAGGGCGTACAGTTAAACACGAATACCTCGGAGCTCCAGCAAGGTGTCAAAGCGAGCCTCGTAACCAAAGCTAGGCCTAAGGGAGAATTTGCTAGACCTTTAGGTGGGCTCCAAGCATGTCGCAGTCGGCTCCCGATTTGTGACTCGCGATCAACATTGCATGAACGAAC